GTTACCATATCTCCTTTGCCTTAATTTATAAGGACAGTAGCTTTGAAATTACTGATCTGCTTTTTCGGCTTTTGTCTCTGCTTTCTTCAAGCCCTTCTGTGTCTATAAAACCTATTTTGCTAGGACATTAGAGATTTTACTCTTTCTTTTTCCCACAGTTAAAAAAGTATGCTTATGCATGTATGTGTGTTGCATGTTTTTATATTCATGTGCATGGGGGTTCCAGGAGGCCAGAAGAGGGTGTTTGATCCCCTGGCGCTAGAGTTACAGATGATTGTGAATCACCAAAGTTACCTGGTTGCTGGGAAGTGAACTCTTGTCCTCTCCAAGAGCAGCAAGTGTACTTAACTGCTGAGCAGTCTCTCCAGACCCTCAAATACTAACTCTGTTTTGTGGAGAGATTTTTTTTTCCTGATTATAGAAGAAAGATCAAACTTAACTGGGATCTTTTAAGTTGGGCATGGTGGTGTGTACCAGTAGGTATTTGGGAGGTTTGAAGGCAGAATTGCTTGAGTCCTAGACTAGCTAGAGCTGTCTCAAACAAACAAAGTCTTTAAACTAAATCATTTTAATTTTGTTCTTTGACTCTAGAAAATGATGTAATAGCCAGAAGTTGGGACCACAGGAGGCAGCAGCCAACACCTACATCCACATACCTCCCTTATACCTCAATGGATGGATTAGAACTATAAGGAAATCTGCCCACCATTACCATAAGCACGGTGCAGGGGCAGGGTGAGGGCAAAGGTGAGGTGTATCACTTAGACTCTTTATATCTTATTTCAGTGTTCTGCTGAAGACCATAGCCCTTTGCTTTCGAGATAATCAAAAGAAAGAAATCCCAAGAGCAGGCAAGTGAAATGGAGTTTTAACACTTCCCAGTTTCCTTCCACCCCAGCTCCCACTAATATGCTTGCTCTGGAGACCAGAGAGAAAGGCTTTTCATCAAATTAAAATGTAAAATGCTTTCTTTTATTACTGCCTGGTGACCAGGGATATTCTGCTGACTCAGCATCGAGTAATCAGCTTTGACCTAAATAATAGAATAACACACAGTGGTTGCACAAGCAGGTCCAAATCTGCAGTTCCTTTTTTTCTTCTTGTCCTCTTCCCCAACCCTCTCCAGGCTCTGGGCAGGCAAGCCAGTTACATCAGGTTCTTTCTGCCTCTCCACCCCCATCTGGCCTGTCCCAACTTCATTTCTCTTCAGATAGCTTCCAAAACTGATCCCACCACAGCACTAGGCCTGGCTCTCTCTTCTCTTCCTTCTCCCAGCAAACACTAGCCCCAGGCTTTGTCACACCCACTCTCTTTGCTGGACCCTGAATTACAGACTAGTGACTGCTCCACCAAGGGTAGCATTTTTTAAACCCATTATGACTCAGTAGGTCCAGTCAATCATCAGCAATGAGACAGCGAAAAGCAAAGCTTCCTGCGTAAATGGTGCACCCTCCCTCTGCCCCCCCCCACACCCATGCTCTCTGTATTGGCTGGTTTTGTGTGTTAACTCGACACAAGTCAGAGTCATCAGAGGAAGGAGCCTCAGTTGAGGAAATGCGTCCATGAGATCCAGCTGAAAGCCATTTTCTCAATTAGTGATCAAAGGGGAAGGCCCAACCCATGGTGGGTGGTGCCATCCCTAGGCTGCTGGCCCTGTATTCTATAAGAAAACAGGCTAAGCAAGCCATGGGTAGTAGCAAACCAGTAAGCAGGATTCCTTCATGGCTTCTGCGTCAGCTCCTGCCTCCAGGATCCTGCCCTGTGTGAGTTCCTGTCCTGACTTCCTTCAGTGATGAACAGCAATGATGAAGAGTAAGCTGAATAAACCCTTTCCTCCACAACCTGCTATTGGTCATGATGTTTCATCTCACCAATAGAAACCCTGAAAAGATACTTTCTGCTGCTTCTCTGGAAAATATGTTGAAGCTGGGTGACTTTCTGCTGCCTCCATCTCCAAAGTACACTGAGATTAATTCACATAGCTGGCTTACCCAGCACCCGCTAAGAGGATGGGCTACACTGGATGACGGTGGCTGTGGTGGGAAGGAGTACTGGAAGGAAATGTGTCATAATAGGGTGTTTGTGGCACCCTCACCCATGGTAAACTCAACCTTCAGGAAACTGAGGCAGGTGAATGATATATTCAAAGCTAGGCTACATGGTAAATTCAAGGGTGGCTTGGGTTACGTGGTAGAGTCCTGTTACAGCTCAGAGAGTAGAGCTAACCCTAACCCTGACCTGTGACAGGGGAAAGTCACAAAATCAAGGTTTTGAGGTCAGCCTGATCAATACAGTGAGTTTCAGGGTAGCCTGGTCTATAAATTGAGTTTCAGGCCAACCTGGGCTACATGCTACATAGCAAAGTCTTGTCTCAATGCCAGCATTGTGAAGCCTGGCAACAACAAATCATTTTCAACACAGGCTACCCTGAGAGACTATTTGAAGAAGGTTGTAAGGCAAGGTTTTTAATAAAGTACTAGTAGCTAAGGCAGGAAGACTGCTGCAAGTTTGAGGTCAGCCTGGCCTACATAGCAAGTTCAAAACTAACTTGGGCTGCACAGTGAGGCACCTCCCCCAATCTTCCAAAACAAAACGATATCCAACAAACCAGAAAACAGAACCACTGTACATAGGCTCAAAGCATTTGGGGCCTGTCCTCCACCTCCACTGGTCCCCTAACAGAAGTAGGAGGGATAAATAAATTGGGTTTAAGATTTTTCTGCTGGAATAATATCTAGAGACGTGTCTCAAGGACGGTGAAAAATTACTATTCCCAGAGTACCAGACTGGCTCCATTCAGTTGGAGGCAATTTCCTTACAACTCTACTCAGGAGGCTGAAGAGAGCCAGACTTTATTAGATTCTTGACAGCAGGAAAGCGAGACAGCAAAGTGTCTTCAATTTTTCTTGACTTGTCTAGGCAGTGTCCAGGGAGGGAGGTGTGGGATACACTGTATGCAACCTGTCTCTCTGGAGCTGGCTAGAAAAGAGCTCATCTTACCATCTGGAAGGGCTGGGACCATTCTGCACTGGGCAGGGTGTATGTGTGCACAGACCTCACAACTCCAGAGTCATTGTGCAAAGTGTCAAACCCCTGTCAGGTCTGTGGCAAAGGAACTGCGTACTGTGGTCTGGCTCTTGTCCGAGGGGAGGGACCACACAGTCTCAGAGTTTCTAGTAGCGGGTCAGAGGAGCCCTCTTGTCTGAAACTTTGGTAGAATCAGCAGAAAGGAGGAAGCTGCCTGTGTGCACAAGACACAGACACAGCAGCAGCTGGCACTCGTGTGCTTCCTTCTTCCTCCCCTTGTTAGCTTGTCTGACAGCAGACACTGCAACTTTCCCCACATTCCCACACTGCCCCCAGCTCCAGCTCCAGCTATGAAACAAGTTTTAGTAACTCTAACATCCACGTACCCCAACTCCCCTTCAGGCTGACTGGAGGTGCAGAAAGGCTGTGCTCCTCACAGACACCTTTCTGATGAGCACACAGGGCTGGTGACAGTTTATGATCTGCTCTCACAAGGAGGCAGATAGCAACTTGGCCAAGCAATCAGAGCTCGTGGAGTAGTGGGGTTGAGAGCGCTAGCAGCCTGAATCTGGGGCACACGCTCCTTTGCCACTGGGTCTGTAGGCAGACCAGACCAAACATGGGATTATTGCCCCCAAACAAGGGATTTGGCCTCACGCTTCACCTTGCCTAGGTGTGGGGTCTATGTCAGGCCTAATCTCCACTGCCAAACAAATCCTTCTTGCTAAGGTCTCAGGTGCCTGTCCTTGGAGATCATCTAAAGTGGGGGGACCCCCACCCCCCACCATACCAGCAAGACAGAAGGACATTGGCTGGACCTGGAAACAAATAGCAGGGACAACCCCTTCACTATTGGGCGCTGTGTAGGGAAATCAGGCCCCTAAGCCAAGCCTCTGAGTGCAGCCTCTGAAACAGACTAGCAGCGGCTTGAAGAGTCAGTGTTTGAGTAAAGACACGGAGTATCCCAGCCCCCCAAGATCAATGACATCAGAGCCTAGAGCTGGGAACGCTTACAAGTCAGCTCTGCAAAAAACTTTCTCTCAAAGATCTAATTCCACCTTGCAGGCATCTTCCCATCCTGAGTTTTCACTGCAACCAATTAAATCCTAACCCGTCTACAATGCTTTTCCTCCAAGTAAACAATGAAACAAAACAACTCACCCAAGGCAGGCATGGTTGCCCACACCTTTAATCCTGGCACTCAGGAGGCAGAGGAAGGTGGATCTCTGTGAGTTTGAGGTCAGCCTGGCCTACAGATCGAGCTCTAGGATAGCTATAGCTACAAAAGAAAGCCTGTCTCAACAAACAAACAAACAACAAGAACCATCCAGACATGGTCAAGGGATAAATTCTCCTCCAACACATAGTTCACAATGCATGTGAGTTGGTAATTTCTAAATTGTTACAACTGTCTGCCGTTAGGCTATCAGGGTCTTTCATCTCAGCAGTCAAAGAAGTCAGCTGGAAGGCCAAGGACTCAAAAACCCAGGACTCCTTGCAGGGTCTACCTCCTAGAAAGTCATTTGCCTGGCTCGTGGTCTCCTGGTCTATTCTGGCAAAATGAGAAGATGGCCCAGCTCACCTCATGGATTGGTCATGAGGCTCCAATCAGAAGTCAGATTGAAAGTGCTAATGTGAAACATCCTGGCATCAAAAGCTGCTGTGTCTCCAAGGAGTTATCTCTACTTCTTGTTTGTGATAGGCTTGCACTGTGTAGCCAAGGCTGGTATCCAGCTCAACATCCTCTTACCTTTGCCTTCCAAGTTCTGGGATTACAGGTATGTTCCACCATACGTGGCTTTCTATGCAACACTAGGTAATTCTATGAAGCACCCACTCATCCAAAACACATTCTTATAGGATGGAAAGTAGTGAGAGAGGGGAGAAAACAGGAAGAAAGGAAAGAGAAACCAGGGCGTGAAGGTCATCAGGAAGACTAAAAGAGGCTGAAGTGAGGTTCAGATGCCACTTACACAAGCAGATGGCGGCCAGGAGTCGCAGGCCGGACTCTGGGGGGAAGCAGGTAGGGAAGAGTGGCTGAAGCACATAGTTGGAGAAGGTGAGGGCGATGACAGCTTGGTTGGTAGGGTAGATCACCAGCACAGCAATCCATAGTCTCAGGAACCTAAAGGAAGAATAGGAATATCATTGGCTGGCATGGCAGGGAGCCAGCATCATCAGCAGAAAATTCAGGCAAGGGGCAGGGATGGGGGTGGGTGGGTCTTGAGCAAATGAGCAAACACCAGTAGGTTAAAGGCACATTTCCCTTTTGTTTCCAGAAATACTGAAGAGGCTAGCTCCTGCCCCACCTCAAATGAGACCCTAAGCCCTTTGTAATACCGGTGGCATAATGTGACAGCAAAGACCTACATACATTTCAGCTACCGCTGATATACATCCCAGTGTCTGGGCTTTCTCCTTTCCCTTTTAATCCTCTCTGCCACATCAGCCCTCTACATCCAAGGGTTGAAAAATTAAACGTAAAAGCCCAGAATTCTTATAGCAAGAACACCTTAAAGGTGTGCCTACATAAGAGACTGCCAGGGAGCCATCAAGAAGGAATTAGCAGGGGAAGCGTCGTGCATGTGTTTTTGCCCTTTGATGATGGATGAGTTCCTCAGTTAGGATTAGAGAAGCCAAGAAAATGCAAGACCAAGGCTTGACTCTGGAAGGAGGCCATCATCTTTGGCAGTGTGAGGAGGGGGATGCTTCATCTCAGGATGTTCTGACTGGGCACACATGTTCTAGCTAAGGAAGTCACCCTCATGTGTCACAGCACAGGGCTTTCTTTTTGTGATTGCTTTTCCTAGAATTCTGTGGTCAGTGTGGTCATCAACTTTGTCTATAAAATCTTGCCTATCAAGCTCAGTGTGGCTCATCTACTGGCTCCATGATTGGCAACACATGGGAGACTAGAAACTCCTGCCCTAAGCCTCTTTTGATCTGACCCTTCTGTCCCAGATTTCTCCTTTTCCTTTACCAGTGGTACCAACCTGTGGCCCATGGGCCACATGTTTCCCAGGATAGCTATGTTTGTGATATAAATACATTGTTACATGATGTCATATTGGTATGTTAGATCATTCAGGATTCCAGATTTACTCACCCAGCAAGTCCTCCGAAGATGTCCTTGACATAGGAGTAATCACCTCCAGACTTAGGGATGGTGACACCCAGCTCAGCATAGCAGAGGGCTCCCACAGCTGTGATGACACCTGTCACGATCCAGACGATGAGAGCAAGACCCACAGAGCCAGCGTTCTCCAGCACACCCTTCGGTGATACAAAGATCCCCGAGCCGATGATGTTCCCTGCACAAGGCACAGAGACTCGGTGAGGTCAGCACAGATGACATTCGAAGGGCCAGCTCATCTCTGGTCTGAGATAGGGGGTATGTCATCCAGCAATGATTCTCACTAGGGTCTTATCTCTGGTCTGGTTCTAAAAGTCTCCAAGATCTCCATTATCTCTAGGCAGGTGTGTTCATTAACAATTCTTCCTAGAGTAGGGTAAAGGCAGAGAACTGACAGGTATTCGCCTGGAACTTACAAGTTTATTCCCTAGAAACTCTTACAGGGTCAGATAACATCCTGGTATTTTCAGCAGAGGAAAACAAGTCTCAGAGAAGCAAATGAGTTATGTGAAGCCACAGAGTAGTGACTGCTGGAGCAAGTACTCAATCTCAAGACTCTCTGCCTGGGTACACAGGTTCTAGCTAAGGTGATGGGCTCTTAGAATTGGCTAAAAATGTAGGACTGGAAACACACTCTGCTCAGAGACCATCTGCCCACTAGAAAGCTTCAAAAGTGAGCCAAAGGATAAATTCTTTTGGAAGATTGTGGCCACACTCTGATGACTTGTGACTATGACCCCTACTTGGAATCTCAACACTTGGGCAGCTGAGGCAGGAGGAGTTCAAGGCTAACTGGGTTTTATGAGTGGAGACAATAGCCCCTGGAAGCTGATTTCTACATGGACGTGACAGCCCCACCCCTGTTGGAGAACATGAAATCAACCTATGAAACAGTTACAGTTGTCTAGCCGTGGCTCCTGAGAGAACAGTACGTGCAAAACCACAGCCTCCCTCTCTGTGGTGTCATATGACCCTCAGAAACACCTTGTAGACTTGAGGGAGAGGAATTTTTCTCCACTTTACTGACCAAGAGACGAAAAGACTGTGCGGTTAAGTGGCTTTCTCTAAATTCCTCAGCTACTGATGGGTAAAATTGGATCTTGAAAGCTGTCTCCTGATGCCTAATCTGGTGTTCTTTTCACTAATCCACTCCTGCATGCTCAGGGTTGGAGTTGTCTCGGAGAGAGGCCAGTAGGAGCATGGAAAGGGGCTCCTGGGTCATGCACATGGGGCAGAGCAGGAGGAAAGTATGGACAGCCCTGACACATTTCTTTCTAAACTGGCTTCATTCATATCTACACTGAAGGAGAAATGAAGTCCCGTTGGACGCTCCCTTCTCATGCCCTTCTCGACTCTTCTCTGAGGAGAAGCAGAGACTAGCTAGATCCAGCTGAGAAAGGCAGAGCTGGAGAGTTTGCCTCAGCCTGTGAGCTTTTGGCTGTGTTTCAGGAGCCCACCTTTCTTTGGTGGTTGAGAACCAGTGAGATAAAAAGTGTAAAATCTGGGCTGGAGAGTTTGCCTCAGAGGTTAAGAACATATATTGCTCTTGCAGAAGACCTGGGTTCAATTCCTAGCACCCACATGGGGCTTGCGACCACCCGTAACTCTGGTCCCAGGGAATCAGAAACCCTCTTCTGATCTTTGAGGGCACTAGGTATGAATGTGGAGCACATACATACACGCAGGCAAAACACTCCTCCTACACATAAAATAATAAAAATAAATCTTTTAAAAACATATTTCTTTCTTTCCTTCTTATTTTGTTTTTCAAGACAGGACTTCTCTGTGTAGCCCAGACTGTCCTGGATCTTGCTCTGTAGAACAGGCTAGTCTCGAACTCATATAGATCTGTCTGTCTCTGCCTCCTGAGTGCTAGGATTAAAGACATGCACCACTGTCTCGTGAATAATTTTTCTCAAAGTCAATGTTTTACTGTCCAAAACTAGCTAGAATTCAACCTCAATTCAGTTCTAAGGCATTCACTTCTAAGTCAAAATTCATCTGTATTTTCTTATAGTTTTGATTGTGAGCCTAGCCTTTAACGGCTGAGCCATCTCTCCAGCTCCAACTGTATTTTCTTTTGAGATGAAGTTGTGCAATAAAACTTGTTAGTTAGCCTGGAACTCTGGTATGTAGACTATTAGACTAGGCTCTCCTTGAAATTGTACCAAGCCAACTGTCTCTGCTTTCTGAGTGTTAGGATTACAGGTATGAAAGAAACCCTATGCTTGGTCCCCAAAATCCAATTTGCAATCAGGACTAGAAATACAGTTCTGAATTAAAGGGGAAGAAAAGAATATTCACATTCCAATCCTCTATTCCTCCCAGATGTAAGATCTGATGTTACTTTTCAAACTGAAAAAAAAATGTAGTGTGACGTATTCAGGATTCTGGGGCAGGATATGTATATATGCGTTATATATGTATGTGTATATATTTAATATGTATGAATATTTTGCCTGTATGTAATTCTGTGACCAAATTCATGCCTGGTGCCTACAGAGGTCAGAAGAGGGTGTCAGATCCCTTGAAACTAGAGTTACAGATGGCTGTAAGCCACCATGTGGTTGCTGGGAATTTAATCCAGGTCTTCTAGAAGAGCAGCTAGTGCTCTTAACATCTGAGCAATTTCTCTGGCCCCTGAGGCAGAATTTTGAGTTTGCGGTCAGCCTAGACAATATAATAAAAATTTTAAAAAGCCCACCAAAAAAAGAAAAAAACAAAACCAAAATAAAACAAACAAACAAACAAACAAACAAAAAACCCAAAAGAAGAAAGCCCAAATAAAACTAAAATAAATGTTTTAAATTTAATTTTATTTTTAAAATCAGAATGGCCAGGGTGGTAGCACACATCTTCAATCCCAGCATTCAAGAGGCAGAAGCAGGCAGATCTCTGTGAGTTTGAGGCCAACATGGTCTATGTAGCAAATTCCAGGCTAGCCCAGGCTATAAGTGAGACCCTGCTCCAAAATTTAAAAAGCCACAGATAGAAATACATTTGTGTGTATGTGTGGGGTGGGGGCATGAGGAGGGGAGGGGGAACTGTGGTTGGTATGTAAGATGAATAAAAAATTTAAAATAAATAAAATGAAAAAATTCTCTTTCAAACACATTTTCCTTTAGAGGTATACACAGAAATAAAACCAAGGAGTGAAACAGCTCCTCAACATCAACCTCAAATGTAAATATCAGGCCAAGAAGAGGCAGACAAGATGGGTTAGCGCTTACAGATACCTTCCTTTTCCTTCTTTTCTTACATGCTATTGGAAGTCCTTTGATAGGACAAGAAGACATCTTTGTCACACATGCTCTCTATGAACTGCTGTCTTGGTGGAGGCCTTCACCCAGTATTCCAGGCCCCAGAGCTTGGTCATCTTTTCAAGTGATCTTTCAAGCTGGGCAGCATGGCTAGTTCACAGTACTAATCCCAGCACTCAGTAGGACAAGACAGGTGAATTGCCTTGAGTCTGAGACCAATTCTTGAACTACAGTGTCTCAAAACAAAAATACTGTTCACCCACCAAAGATAAATATTCTGCTATTTCCTGGAAGACAGGAAACCCTGGGAAACAAGAACATGAGAGTCAGAGTCTCTGAAAGAGGCCAGTAAATTCCTTGCCTATCTGGGAATTATCAAGAGTGATCTAAAGGGAGTTTCATAGCCATCTAAGAGAGAAATAGAACTTAGCCCATGAAACCAGCTCCAGGGCTAGAAAAACAACACTGAGAGAAAAACAAGGGTTGACTTTGGTCTTGAGGTAGTGAAATTGGAAGAGGAAATGGCCAGACATTTCTTGGAGCTGGGAATGGCAGTTTCGGTGGGAAGGTGGGGCATCTGTTAAAAGTTCTGCCTGCTCAGGAATGAAGAGTCAATGTTCACTAAGGGTTCTGGGCAAACAAACAGCCATAAGGACCAACAAGGATCCACCAGGAGCATGCATGAGTACTTCTGCAGCCTCTGGAACACTGTCAGAGTACACATGTCATAGTGTCCCCTGGGAAATGAGGTATACAAGCATTAGCTGATCTTTGAGGGGTCCGTGGACTAATTACTTCTTGGAAGAAACAAGGGAGGTATTATTATCTTCATTTTACAATTGAAGAAACAGAGACCCAGAAATGTGTTGTGGGATATTTGTACACTGTGTGAAGATATATTGTGGTGATTGGTGTAATAAAAAGCTGAATGAATGGTCAATAGCTAGACAGGAGGTATAGGTGAGATTTCTGAGGAGAGAGAGAAAGAGGACAAATCTAGGCATGCAGGAGATGCCAGGAGACACAGAGAGGAAACAGGAGGTACAAGATGGAAGAGAGGTAATGCCACATGATAGAATATAGATTAATATAGATGGGTTAATTTAGGTTATAAGAGCTAGCTAGGAACAAGCCTAAGCTATAGGCACAGCTTTCATAACTAATAAGAAGTCTCCATGCCATTATTTGGGAGCTGTCTGGCGGCACAGAAAGACTTGTTAAGGGAAGGAAGGTATCACAGATGACTTAGCAGTATCTAGATTGGAGGCTGCTCCAACTTCAAGACTTTGTGAAAATAAAAGGCTTTCCCACGTACACCGGGACGATCCTTACACCTCCATTGGGTAGCCAATGGGAGTCCATCCTATAGAGAGGCGGAAGGCAGACTAAATGTCCTCCCCTTGTTGCAGTCCTGTCATCTGCTGCCATGGTGACTGAAGCACGTGCTCTTAGTACTGTCCTGGGCGATCATTCCTATTTACTTTTGTGAAAACCGAGGCTCAGAGAGAGAGAGGGAGGAGAGGGAGACTGACTTGGTCAAAGTCACACGCTGTGTAAGCAGTTGGGGCTGGTGGAGAAGCTGAGTCGTTGGATTTCAGGCCCAGGGTGTCCTCCAGACTCCAAGCTCCTCCTCCTCAGTCAACATCACTACACAGGGCAGCCTCAGGGCCTTCAGTGCCTTGTCCAAAGGAGTCTCCCAGACAGGAGAACTAGGAAAGAGCCTTTCTAACTTGGTTAGAGTCTTTCTTCATATAGAGGAAGGAAGTTGACTTCTGTGGGGATTATTTTTTTCTCCCTTGTTTTACTCTTAGGACTCATTGTCTAGAATAGTGGTTCTTAACCTTCTGAATGCTGTGACCCTTTAATATAGTTCCTCACATTGTGGCAACCCCCAACCATAAAAATTACTTACTTACAT